TCTATTTGCATTTTTATACATTTAGATAGCCAGTTAGACCAGCACCATTTGTTGAAGATGCTATCTTTTTTTTTTTTTTTTTCCCATTTTATGGTTTCAGCTTCTTTGCCAAACATCAAGTATCTATAGGTGTGTGGCTTTATTTTTGGGTCTTCAATTCGATACCATTGGTCCACCAGTCTATTTCTATGCCAGTACCATGCTGTTATTTATTTATTTGTTTATTTATTTATTTATATTTATTTTACTGTTGTGCTATAATACAGCTTAAGATCAGGGATGGAGATACCTCCAGAAGATCTTTTAAAGTACAGGGTTGTTTTAGCAACTTTGGGTTTTTTTGTTTTTCCATATGAAATTGAGACTTGTTCTTTCAAGTTCTGTAAAGAATTATGTTGGTATTTTGATGGGAATCACATTGAATCTATAGATTGCTTTTGGTAGGCTATCTGGAAACAACCTAGATGTCCCTCAATTGAGGAATGGATACAGAAATTTTGGTATATTTATACAATAGAATACTACTCAGCAGTTGAAAACAATGAAATCATGAAATTTGTAGGCAAATGGATGGAACTAGAAAAGATCATCCTCAGTGAGGTATCTCAGAAGCAGAAAGACACACATGGTATATGCTCACTTATAAATGGATATTAGACGTATAACATAGGATAAGCATATTAAAATCTGTAGTCCTAAAAAACCTAAACAGAGAGGAAGACCCTGGGGAAGATGCTTAATCCTCATTCAGAAGGGCAAACAGGATAGACATCAGAAGTGGGAGAAAACAGAGAACAGGAAAGGAGCCTTCAACAGAGGGCCTCTGAAAGACTCTACCCAGCAGGGAATCAAAGTAGATGGTGAGACTCATAGCCAAACTTTGGGCACAGTGCAGGGAATCTTATAGAAGAAGGGGGAGATAGAAAGACCTAGAGGGGACTGGAGCTCCAACAGAGCCATAAAAATCTGAGCTCAGTGGGCGTGCAGGGACTGATACTCCAACGAAGGACCATGCATGGAAAGGGCCTAGATCCCCTGCTCAGATGTAGCCCATAGGCAACTCAGTCTCCAAGTGATTTCCCTAGTAAGGGGAGCAGAGGCTGTCTCTGACATGAACTCAGTGGCCTGCTCTTTGATCATGTCCCACTGGGGGAAAGGGGTATACAGCTTTGCCAGGCTACAAGGAAGATGATGAAGCCAGCCCTGATGAGACCTGATAGGCTAGGATCAGATAGAAGAGGAGGAGGTCCTCCCTATCAGTGGACTAGGGAAGGGGCATAGGAGGAGAAGAGGGAGGGAGAGTGGGACTGGGATGGGATGAGGGAGGGGCTACAGCTGAGATACAAAGTGAATAAAATGTAATAAATAAATTAATCAATGAATTAATTAAATAAAAATAAAAATTAAAAATAAAAGAAAGCACATAGTAACAGAAAAGCTGATAAGTGTTTTTTGATGTTGCATTTCAGTACTTGAGAGTCAGCCTAGAAGACTAGGAGTTCAAGGCCAGTTTGGGCCATAAGGTGAGAATCTTCTCAAAAAGTTAAAGTTGTGATAGAAAACAGAGTGATACTGGTGTCAGAACTCTTTTCATATAATACTGTGTGCTATGATACATACACAGTGATACACATTTCACTTCTATATTGCAACTTGTTTCATCGTCATCATTGAGTCACTTAGAGCATATGAAACTTTGACATTCAGCATGGCTAAGGCTGAAGGAAAAGTGGCAGATGTGGTTTTCAGTTAAGATGTGGTGAATCCTGCAGAATAAGTGACCTCCAACTTTGGATATAGACGGAAAAAAATGTAAGAACACTTTCCATATCAATTTTTTTCTCTTAAGAAAAAGCAAAAATACCTTTCAACGCATTGTTTGAATTTTTGACATATCATCTCACTTTAAATAAAAGCATAAATAACTTTTCCTTTAAATCCCTAAAAAGTAACTATGATTAATTCATAATTAATATATGTAACATCAATTTTTCTATATCAATGTTAAAATAAGTTTGAAAAAATTATATACTTAAAACAACAAAATATAGAATTAAATGAACTCTCCATTGAATGTTTAAAATATCTAAGCCTGAAAGGACATTTTTGTCTTTTAAGCCTCCAGGATTAGAAAACACTTATCTCCCCAGAAAGCACACAGTAGTTATTTGGTTGTATTTCAGCACAGGTTTAATTGGTTCATTTTAGCAATTCTGGGCTGCGGCCTAATTTCATACAATATCCAATTGTGAGAGCAAAATGCATGCTTGGGAAGCTTGGGTATAATCCATTCCCCAGAACTGAAATTACACAGCTCGACTAAGGAACTCTTATGTTACAGGTTGTCCTGTAAATCTGACCCAATTCTGAGCAGCATGCAGTTTTGCAAGAAGCAGTATTTAGTTAGCAGCTTGGAGCTTGAATGCAGCCAGCACTGCACCAGGAAGGCATGAGGAAGCCCTTGCATGCTGAAAAGGGAAGACAAAAAGAAATCTGGGGTCATCATTCTTCCTTTCGTTACTCTTCCTCAATTACGAATGCTGTTTTTTATGTTAAGTTTTTGTTTTGTTTTGTTTGTTTTGGGTGAGTGTAACATGCAATTGTCATGCCTGCCTGTGGCAACTGGAGCATGGTCTTCAGGAGGTTTTTTTTCTTTCTTCCACAGGTGAATTGAACTCAAGTAACCAGGTTCTGAGGCAGCAACATCACGAGCCTGCACACAGTGCCTGCTGGCCCCAGTCAACATTGGTTTTGGAAGAATGTTGACCTTTATCAGGGCAGGAAATATTCATGGAATATTTCTTCCCTGCTTAGTAAAGCCTAATATGACAGCATTTCACAAGCATATTTTTCAGCTTAGTTGCCAGTGTCTGATGTGAAGAATAGAAGCAAAAGTAAATAGTGAAGTGCATAGGTAACTGTTTTAATGGATCCAAGCTCTTCTGTTTGGTGAAATTCCTGTTAAGTTGATAGACTGATGAAACTGTTTACATTTGAGATGGACACAGGCCACCAGCCAAGCTAACAGTAAGAGGGAGTACTGTGCTCATTGAACAGGGTGGAACTTCTCACATCTGTCTCTGCATTACATGCGCTTTGTGGAAAGCATGAGGTGACCCCATATATGCTTTGAATATTAAACTTCCACTTAATCTCTGACTGTTCAACCCTTGAAACAGTAACAGGTACAGTACAACTGCCCGACTCATCAGCAAGATCTGGCACCACAGTAGAATGCATACTGATGAATATTCAAATTGAGTAACAACAAGAAAATCAGCTAAAATCCATGGTATAAGTAAGGGTATCTAGATCATTGACATTAAATTATCATGTGAACATCATGATACTTCTTTTTTAATATTGAAATTCCACTTTGTAGTTGTGTAAGCAGTTTAATTTAACTTGTATCAGCTTAAAAATTAGCTAGAAGCCAGGCACGGTGGCTCAGGCTTTTAATCCCAGAACTTGGGAGTCAGAGGCAGGAGGATCTCTGTGAGTTCAAGGCCAGCCTGCTCTACAAGTGAGTAGAGCACAGCAAGGACTATTACACAGAGAAACCCTGCCACAAAAACAAAAGCAAAACAGAAAAGAAATTAGCTAGAAATAAAATAGGTATATATATACATATATATATGTATGTATGCAAGTAGAACATTAAAAAGAGAGACAAAAACATTGACATATGACAAAAGATAAGGTTGAGGTGTGCTTAATAATATCAACATGGCTTAGAACTCTTGGTCATACTTGTATTTTCATATATAAGGAAATTATTGTTATAATCTACAAGATGTCTGATATAAGACTTATAAGCTAAAATTCAGAATAACATTAGAAATTTTTTTGTAAAAATTCACCTTTCAAAAGGAACTAAATGCACTTAAATACTTTTTTTAGAATTTTACTCAAAGATATAATGGAGAAGCCATAGCTGCTTTTCTTATCTGTATTGGTGAATATTCAGCTTTAGGTCCTTTTTTAGTCTTTAGTTAGTAGACGCTGTAGCAAAGCCTCAAATTACAAAGTGCTGGCTAAGCGAAATGTTTGGGGAAATTGTTATTATATTATTCATTTCATATAAAAGATGCTGAGTTGGGCATAGCGGTCCCTCCTACCTATAACCCCAGCACATGTGAGGCTGACACAGAAGGACTACCCTGAGCTCACGGGCAAGCTAGACTGTAGTGACACCCTATCTTAGAAAACCAGAACAGAAATAAAAGTTAATTAAATGTTTATCACATAACTAGAAACCTATCGTGAACTAGGAAAGTAATATCCTTTGTAGGATAAGCTGAGAAATTTTGGAAGAATTTAACTGAATTGTAAAGTCAGAATTTCTGTTACCGACAAGAGAGAAGAACTCCAACACTCATATAACCTACCCCCAAAATGGCAAATATGCTCCATACATAAGAGAAAAAAATCAACAGATAAATCAGATCCTTCAGTTAGTGTATGCCGGTTATGTGTTAAATGTTATAATCTTTTTATTCTAATACACAAAGTTCTTGTATACAAACCTTTTAAGGTTATGCCAATATCAGTTATAAGTGATGTAGTTAGGAAGTTTTAGAATTATGCCTGAAATAAATATACACACACAGAGAGACACACACACATAAAAGCTTTCACTGCATATAGATATTTGCATCTTTTTTCTAGTTTTATATGAAGTACTTCAGGAACACTTATGAAAAGGGAAAGCCTTGTATTTCATAATAACTAAAAGTTAAATGACTATACCCAATTATGGATTGCAAAAATATGTTTAAAGCACAGTCTTGAGTTTTTACATTTAGCCAAACCATCAATTACGGCAGTCAAAGAACTGCTTGCAGTTTTCAAACTTACCACCAAAAGCCACTAACTTACAGACTAGTAATTACCCCACATTTTCTAGACTAAATTTGAATGATTTCTATGAGAAACATTATCTGCAAACGTTTTATAATGTGGCTCAGCCAGTACATAGAAAGGCTCTGTTTTAAGCTTACCTTCTGCTACACAAACAGTCCATAATAAAAGCCAAATAATTCTTGCTGACGGCCTCATGGTTTGAATCATTCCGGAATTCCAAGAGAAGTCAGCACCATCCAGCTCTCCTCTGCTAAGAACTGTGGTTACTGCAAGGAACGACTTGCCCCAAAGGGAAGTTGAAAGTCAGTTTAGGAAATAGGATCGCTAGATGCTCCACCCATGAGCACTTCTGCAAAGTAAACCAAAAGGGTAGAGCACAAGACCAGCAGCGTGGGCGTGGGCGGTCGATCTCCGCTCTTACTGTGCCCTGTCTGTGACCTGCCGGATTGTTCTTGTAAATCCCAGCTTGTTTTGCTTGGAAACAAGTTCAGGTTTCTGGAAATGTGAGAAGCAGGGTTGGTGATTGCCTCTGGATTTCATAAAACCTTTAAACTGCGTTCTACTGGGTACGAACCACAGAACAGATAGCAATAAAGGCGCTTTTAAAAATCAGTTAAGGAAACTTAGTTAAGCAGTGTTTTCTGGGCCAACACCCAGGCATAGTACAGAAACATTGCCAAGGTAGTCATGCCGAAGGATGGAGATTATGAGATTGCTTTCCAAAATTCATGAAGTTAGTCTCCCAAGGAATTCTTTTTATATGTGTGAGGCAACTGGCCTGTGTCTCCTTGGATATAAATGAAAAACTCAAAAATCCCATCATTTGAAAAGCTAATTTTCTAACTTCTCACTGACGTACATTATAGTAAGGAAGATAGAGGGGTGAAAGAGTATCTCAGGGTGAACTGGTGCGGACAGGCAAATACTCAACTCCCAACCTGCTAAGCTGGAAGCCCCGTCTTCATTTCTGTCCATATGCCCTCCAGCTTTCTACCCACTGTCAGTGTCTCCAAACACATGGACTGTATTTGCCTGTACTTCATGGGAGTGGAGAAGAAGCAGTTTATTCCTTTGTTTATACAACGTCCATCATTAAGAACTGTATTTGGGATATGACTTTGCTGGACATGGCTCCTGACTATAATTTTTCATTCTATGTAATATTCAATTATTTAAATAAAGAATAACTTTTAGCTATCTCTGTACATCGTTAATGATAGATTTCATCTAGGAAATAATACAGATAGTACCACTAATGTTAGATTGTGTGGAGTTACTAGCTCAAGCATATATATGAATGAACTGAACACAGAACATTTAAGCACTCTCTTAAAGCCAGAAGAACTTTTTGGAGTGAGATACTCAACTCAACGGCCTAATACCCCAAATCATACATTTAATCTATACAGATAGGCATTTTCAGGTGGTTTGCTTCCTATTTTGTTGAATGTGTAGGAATTCAGCTGCCATTTAACTCACTGTAATAGCCATTTGTCTTGTGGATGTGGGGGACACCTGATAAAAGCAGCCGACACTTCCCAGAGACACAGCCTGTCAAGCATAGAAGAGCAGCCGCAGTCCGGTACAGAGAGTGCTGATAAATGCTGGTGAGCTCACTGTGCTTTTCTCTAGTCTGGGATCCTCCCACGAAACTGATAACAGAACAGTTGACGAGACTTCAGTCCAGAGTACCTAACATAAATCATGTCACAAGGGCTTGATGCTCTGAAATATTGTTCATTTAATCAAAGAAATTTGACAGAGTTTTAAAAATTTTTGACAATATTAGAAATTTGTCGACATTACAAATCATGAGTGGTGATTTTTCTAATATTTTGATAACAAGTTACAAATTTTAATCAAAATCTGATAGAAGAAATATTTTTTCCTTTTTATCTCTATTGAAGCTATTATAAAATTGAGGCTTATAATAAAATAATCACAAATATAGATAGCCAATAATATAAAAATTGAAAGTAGCATAAATGTGTTACTTTTTAATTCATTCTTACTTATCATTGTTTGACAATTCAAAATCTATTTTACTTATTATTCTCCAGGTGCCTCTGAAAAGATAATTGCACAAATTATCTCATGAAAAAATGGGCGTAGGGAAAGTCCTGTTGGCTCTGGCCTGAGAAATTACATATTTACCTCAACACTTAAAAAGGGACTGGACCCTCTCTTATTGGGCCAAGCTGGTGTCTAGAGACAGATTAATGGTTCTAAGGAACTCAGCTGTGAAGTTCACATACTGGCAGGCTACAGTCAGCTGAAGGTGCTCAGTGACATGTACTGTTTATAGGCACAATTGTTATTCTTATTTTTATTTTATTTACCTACATACTTACTTTAATTTTTTAATTTAATTTAATTTATTTAAATTAATTTAATAATTAATTTCATAAAAGGACACACTATGTTTGAATAATTTCCACACCTCCCATGTTCTTCTTTCCCCTTTCTAATCCTTGTTCTCTTCTAATTACTGTCATATGTGCATGCGTGTGTACGCTCACAGTCTACTGAGTCTTATTAATGTTGCTACATACATATGGGTTTAGGGCTGACCACTTAGGATTGGAAAGCCTACCAGGAGACTGGCCTCCAAAGAGAGCTGATTGTCCTAGTCATTGACTGCCTTAATGATTCATCCAGGTGTAGGACCCTGGGAAATTTCCCCCAGTTCCTGTTGGCATGTTGTCTGGGATCATCTTGGAAAGCTCTTGGGCAGGCAACCATATTGTTAAATGTGTAGATGCATGAACCCTGTCTTCTCCAAAGACACTATCTCAAAATAAGTGTCCTGATCCTCTGGCTTTCAAAATCTTCCTATAACTCTTATTTGCTGTTCCTGGAGACTTGGGCATAAGGGTTGAGTTGTATATGTATCAACCATACTGATAATCCCACAATTACTTATTCTCTGCATTTTGACTGGTTGTGTATCTCTGTAATAGCCTCTATGTGCTGCAAAAAGAGATGCTTCTTTGATGAGAGGTGAGAACTGAACTTGCCTTGTGGGTTTTTAAGGAAAAAAAATATTTAGAATATAATTGGAAGCTCAATTAATTTGGCAAAAAGGCAGTAATAGGTTTTATTCTATACTTGCTCTAGGCATGATTCCCTGACTAGACTTAGAGTAACAGGCATGTGAATGCCTTCCTATTGAGTCAGCCTTTAGTCCAGTTAGATAGCTATTGGTTTTTCTCATGATGTCAGTGGCACTATTGCACCAGTTAGTTATATTTTGTTAGAGCCAGTTTTTCTGAATAACAAATATCAAACATACTATAAAGCGTACATTTGTACCCAAGGAAGTGTTATAAGAGAAAATGTTACATAGACCTGATGTCTCTGAAGGGAGCTGTGTTAGCTCTAATGTACATAACAACAAATACAAGTACTTACTTGTAATTAAATTTAAGTTTAATTAATGAGGGAATAGATGGTAGCTAGCACTCTTGAATCCAAGAAAGTAACTAGTCTGAGTGAGAATCCAGAGCAAGGAAAGAAAGTAATGGACTAGGCATGCTCAGAAGACTAAACCCAGCCGTGAGAAGAGAGAGGAGAGCAAGAGGAGGACAAGAGAAAGGGCAAGAACAAGGGAGCTAAGAGGACTAAGAGAAAGATAGCCAGAGACAGCCAAGAGCATGCATCGCTGAAACGGCAGGGTTATAGAGGAATTAGAACCTGAAGGAAGGGAAGCCATTGAGCTGGAATTTAGGGTTGGGAATAAAGTGAGAAGAACTGTGAGGAGCCACAGGTATGGAGTAAGCCTGGAGGTCAGCAAATGTTATGGTATGCATTATTTTTTTTAATTTCTATTTTTTATACTAATCACAGTTTATTTACTTTGTATCCCAGCTGTAGCCTTCTCCCTCATTCCCTCCCAACCTCACCCTCCCTCCCTCATCTCTTCCCTGTCTCTCTCTAAGTCCACTGATAAGGGAGGTCCTCCTCCCTTTCTATCTGACCCTCGTTTATCAGGTCTCTTCAGGACTGGCCGCATGTTCTCCTCTGTGGCCTAGCAAGGCTGCTCTTCCCTCAGGGGGTGGGGGAGGCAAAAAGCCCACCACTGAGTTCATGTCAGAGATAGCCCCTGTTCCCCTTATTAAGGAAACCCCTTTGGATGTTAAGCAGCCATGCACTACGTCTGAGCAGGGATTCTAGGTTATATCATGCATGGTCCTTGGTTGGAGAATCAGTCTCAGAAAAGACCCATGTGCCCAGATATACTTGGTCCTTGTGGGGCTCCTGTCCTTTCCATGTCTTACTAACTCCCCCTTCTTATCAAAGACTCTACCTATCAGTGTGTCAAAGCAGATACTGAGACTCATAACCAAACACTGGGCAGAGTGCAGGGAATCATATGGGATGCGTTATTAAGGTACCACACTTACCCATTTGTCTTCAGTTCCTTTTGGTCCTGACATTGAGATGAGTGGAATCTGAGAACTATTAGTTTAAGTAGCAAATAAAAAAGTAAAAATTTTGGGCGGGGCAAGATGGTGGCACCGGGAGGACTCTCATTCTGAGGAGCAGCACAGCAGAATTGGCACAGTGACCAGCAATCAGAACTCGCGGCCATAAAACACAAGGGATTGTGTTTCACAAGTGAGAGGATACCCCACAGTGGGGGATTCAATCAGCTTTAACTCACCCGGCTAAACCTCGGAAGAGATCCCGGTTCCGCCAGGCGCTTGGTCGCCAGCCCAGAGCTACACGCCAGTGCGATCTGATCACTGTCCCAGACTGAACTGTGGGCCCACAACATCATAGACTGGATTTCCCAGTCGAGAGATAACCCCACGGAGCAGGAAACAATTGGGACCGACCTCAGGTTACCCAGACATCCCCTGGAAAAGACTCGGGTTCCGCGGGTGCCCCAAGAGCCAGCCTGGACTCAGAGTTGACCCAGGCTCCTGCACAGAGCCCTGCCTGCTCGCCTGATTTGCCGCCTCAGATAGACCTGTGGGAACCAGGGCACCAGGCACCAGACTGTGTGTCTCTGGCAGGAGGAAACCCCCAGCGGAGAGGGTGAGTAGCTCTAACGCTTAGGACACCCAGCACCAAAACACTTCCTGGACTCACGCAGACTCTAGTGCAGGCGGGAGCGCTGTGCTCTGCCTCCATTATTGAGTTCCCCTAGGGCACTGGGACACACAGCTGCATCCTCAGACCTACAAAAGCCAGAGAGCCATTACAGCAGCCCTCAGATACTGTGCCAAGGATCAACCAGTTATCCCTAGCTACACTGTCAAAACTGTGGGAATCCCTGGTCCTTCAAGAGGGCTGCACCCACAGCGTCTGGACCAGAGCAGTGCCTGCAGCCG